TTGCTGCCGTTCACAACTGGACACGTGGTTTGTGCGTGTAATACGTTGAAAAGTCATAGATTTCTGCCTTTCAAGTGAGTACTGAGCCCCGGGTGCAAATTCCTTTCTGCTATTGCAGGAGGGAGTATATCTAAAGGATAGCCACTTAACCTCCTCGCAATAATTTTATCGACAGCAGAGGAACGATGGGCTGAGGTTGAACATTTGAACTCGCAGCCTTCCGGTCGTGAGCCGCTCACTTCTCCGCTGAGCCACCATGCACGGTGCGCAATGCCGCAGCTCTGTCGGATATGCGCGTTGGAAACCTAACTTCATGCGACAGGAGTTGAGACCTCGGTGCAGATAATTGCCTAAGCCCTGACTCTTTATACAATTCATCTGCAGGCCGTAAGGTGAGCTGTGAAGCAAAATTGCACAGTGACCCTGGCTGCTCCAATGTGCTATTGCACAGAATGCCTTCAATCAGCTTTGCTTTACTTGCTTTGTCGAATTGTGGTTTGTAATTAAACCTCGAGGTTTTTTGGGGGGTTTTCTTCCAATTTAAGTGTGTTCTAAAAAGGGATGAAAATTAACACTTCAGAAATTTGTAATTGTTGATGTCAAAGAATGAAATGAATGTTGACACGGTCTGATGAGAAGTAATTTAGTGTACATTTAGAGTGTATTAATAGCCAGTTGCTTTTGAAGCTCATATATGTGTGTAGTGAGAACACAGAAACCACCCGATTTCATCAGATCTCAAAAGCTGAGCAGAGTGCTTGGACGGGCAACCAGCATGCGTAAACCAGGTGTTGTAGTCTTCTGCGGGGCTATGCTATAAGCAGAGACATTCATCGTCGGACTGTATTGTACACCAATGCCTATAACACCCTGCCTTCGCCAACCCACACTGACCGGCATGGGTGAAGCGTGGTCAAACAACCCCACAACGCCACTGCACGGTGAGGGTGGCGTCTTTGTGGATTGACAGAAATGGCTGAAAATTCAAGTACGCCCGAAATGTACTCTCTAAGATTGGGACATCAAAGGCATTCTCAAACGTGTCGTTTAATTGCATTATCGGTGTCAAAATGACTTAAATACGATGGAAATGTGTCCCAAATTTATATACGTATAAAAAAAATCACCCTGCTATTGGAGAGCATCAACGACGATTAGCCAAAAGCTGTAGATTCAACAGCAAATTCTATCCACATTCAAGACTGTAAATCATGAGCCTCAATTGCCCCTAAGAGACCATAAAGGAGACTTTGTATTTAAATTATGTACGTAATTAGGAGCGGTGGTATAGTGGTTATCACAGTGAGCTGTGCTCCTGTGACCTGTGCTCAATAACTGGATATGTTATGGGTCATAACTTCAGTGGCAATGAACTAAGCCTACATGTTCCATAGGTCGATTCAGCCCAAAATGAGTTTTGTGGTCCCTATTGGGATTGGCAAGACAAAGGTAGGATGGTGGCGACATTCTAATAATAATGTATAGCCATTTGTAAATGCAATGCTGGATGAAAGTCTCCCCATCTCGTGTTGGTCACAGTTGTTTGGCCAGTGTTAGTTGTTGGTTCATGGATAGCCAGCACTGGATCAGATATCACTTGCTTCTTGTTAGTGGTGGGAACCAAACTCAGGTCGCTAGGATATTAGTATAATGCATTGCACTAACCACTCTGTCACTGATTCACGCCAGAGAATGATATGAGAGGGCATTAAATGGTCACTTTATAGCAGATGGCACACTGGTAATTTCCCACTAAGATGTCCATTTATCCTTTGGGATCAAACTATTACCGACCATAAAAATGGCTCAGTGGTGAGGTTCCTGACAACTGTTATTTTGATGCCCAAATGATAATAAAAAAAGATCCCTATTAAGTCTTATGGAGCACAAGGAGGCATGTGCTGTTAGTGAGCACCTATGAGGGGCAGGCATTCCACATGGGGGGGTTGTGTGGCCAATACCATTTCCAGCTGCCTTTGTCTCCCTGGTGCAGATGTTTATACACAATACTAGATCATAAAGATGTACTCCCGACTTTCGGTTAAATTTGAAATATCTCAGAATCAGGCCTGAATACGAAATTTCAGATGTTGTGATTTTTTTTTATTCATCCTAAAACCAAAAGTGATGTCACTTATGACATTACTTTTGTACTTTTCCTGCCAAAATTGGTGTAATGTGGCACTGCCGTTAGCATGACGACCTTTCATTTAATCACATAATATTTGCGATCAATAACAGATAAGAAATAGTCTTGAACAATTCAAAAAGGGTTTTTTCAGCCAAATCTCATCCTTACTCAGTACTCATTTAACGAGAAGTCGACCCAGGGAAAGCTCCAGGACAGAAACAGATATCACATTGAGCTGCTGTGCATGGCCAAGGGTTCATAGCACAGTGTTAACCGTCGCAACATCCCTGACACCATCGTAATCAGCCATGACCTATCCACTACTGCATTAAGCCCTATTCATCATGACGTAATCATTTATCATGGTCTTGCGAGAGCAGCTGGGACTCAGCCCAGCTGGTGAGCATCAACCTTCGTGACGATTAACATGCTTCAGTGCAACGTCGCATGTCCGACCTACTGGGAACGGATATTTGACTGTCAGATGTGCCAAATTGTACTGTACATTGGTTTCGGTTCTACGTTTTCATGGTGATTCTGGTCGATTCAGCCTGGCTTATGCATCAATGCCAATTCCAGCCACTAGATCAGCATGGCCATTGAACTTAAGGGCCGGAAGCCTCATTTCACCACGATTCCGGCACATTGTTGAGGCTCAATGAGAGGAACTGTGGGGCCTGGCCGTCCCAGTGAAATTACGTTAAAAGTACAGAATAGCCTCTCCAAATAGACACGAGCAAGCCAGAATTCAGGGTAGGTCAAAAAGGCTTCTGGTAAAAAAAAAAACATCTGGCCGAAATACTTTTCAATCACTATTTAAGCTTCGCATGGCATTCTGTGGTCATTCCACAACAGTGACTACAGGAAGTAGTGTTCAGATCGATAATACTACTGGCCATACCACTGGGAAATCTGAGACCACCACTTCAGAATCAGAATCTTTTTCAGAACTTTTATTTATCCTGGAGAATTCTGATGAGCTGTGCAGCTGTTTTTCACATATGTCCAGGAGGACTTGGACTGCTGATATGACCAAATGATTATATGCTCACTCACGTGACATATATACAGTGAGGGAAAAAAGTATTTCATCCCCTGCTGATTTTGTACGTTTGCCCACTGACAAAAAAATTATCAGTCTATAATTTTAATGGTAGGTTTATTTGAACAGTGAGAGACAGAATAACAACAAAAAAATCCAGAAAAACGCATGTCAAAAATGTTATAAATTGATTTGCATTTTAATGAGGGAAATAAGTATTTGACCCTTCTGCAAAACATGACTTAGTACTTGGTGGTAAAACCCTTGTTGGCAATCACAGAGGTCAGACGTTTCTTGTAGTTGGCCACCAGGTTTGCACACATCTCAGGAGGGATTTTGTCCCACTCCTCTTTGCAGGTCTTCTCCAAGTCATTAAAGTTTCGAGGCTGACGTTTGGCAACTCAAACCTTCAGCTCCCTCCACAGATTTTCTATGGGATTAAGGTCTGGAGACTGGCTAGGCCACTCCAGGACCTTAATGTGCTTCTTCTTGAGCCACTCCTTCGTTGCCTTGCCCGTGTGTTTTGGGTCATTGTCATGCTGGAATACCCATCCACGACCCATTTTCAATGCCCTGGCTGAGGGAAGGAGGTTCTCACCCAAGATTTGATGGTACATGGCCCTGTCCATCGTCCCTTTGATGTAGTGAAGTTGTCCTGTCCCCTTCGCAGAAAAACACCCCCAAAGCATAATGTTTCCACCTCCATGGGGATGGTGTTCTTGGGGTCATAGGCAGCATTCCTCCTCCTCCAAACACGGCGAGTTGAGTTGATGCCATAGAGCTCCATTTTGGTCTCATCTGACCACAACACTTTCACCCAGTTGTCCTCTGAATCATTCAGATGTTCATTGGCAAACTTCAGACGGGCATGTATATGTGCTTTCTTGAGCAGGAGGACCTTGCGGGCGCTGCAGGATTTCAGTCCTTCACGGCGTAGTGTGTTACCAATTGTTTTCTTGGTGACTATGGTCCCAGCTGCCTTGAGATCATTGACAAGATCCTCCCGTGTAGTTCTGGGCTGATTCCTCAACGTTCTCATGATCATTGCAACTTCATGAGGCGAGATCTTGCATGGAGCCCCAGGCCGAGGGAGACTGACAGTTATTTTGTGTTTCTTCCATTTGCAAATAATCGCACCAACTGTTATCACCTTCTCACCAAGCTGCTTGGCAATGGTCTTGTAGCCCATTCCAGCCTTGTGTAGGTCTACAATCTTGTCCCTGACATCCTTGGAGAGCTCTTTGGTCTTGGCCATGATGGAGAGTTTGGAATCTGATTGATTGATTGCTTTTGTGGACAGGTGTCTTTTATACAGGTACCAAGCTGAGATTAGGAGCACTCCCTTTAAGAGTGTGCTTCTAATCTCAGCTCGTTACTTGTATAAAAGACACCTGGGAGCCAGAAATCTTTATGATTGAGAGGAGGTCAAATACTTATTTCCCTCAGTAAAATGCAAATCAATTTATAACATTTTTGACATGCGTTTTTCTGGATTTTGTTGTTGTTATTCTGTTTCTCACTGTTAAAATAAACCTACCATTAAAATTATAGACTGATAATTTCTTCGTCAGTGGGCAAACGTACAAAATCAGTAGGGGATCAAATACTTTTTTCCATCACTGTACACAGTTGCTTACTAGTGCATGTATGTGTATGCGCACGCTCCAATGCTCTCTCATGTATTTGAATGGAGATATTTTCTTTGTAACAATCAATACAAAAATCCCAATTCCTGCTGGAACCATCCAGGGTGTGTTTGTTGGAATTAAATGTGATTCCTGCGAGAATCTCCCAGCTCTGATGTCAGCATACTGTGTGTGAATGCAGGAATTTGAGAAAGGTGTTGTTTTTGTCAACGGCAAAAACCTAGGCAGATACTGGATTCTGGGACCCCAGAAAACACTATACCTACCTGCCCCATGGCTCAAGGAGGGAGACAATAAGGTTTGTGAGAATTACACCGACACACACATACATGTAATGCATCACAATAATCAGCCATGGGAGGTCCACTGCTGGATGAAGGCCTCAGGTGGCCTCCAACTCTCACGATCCTGCCATGTACAATCTACGTACTAACTGTACATGAACTGATTTAATCGCTCCATCTCCTCTGTGGCCATACTCAGACGCATTCTATTGCTTGGCTGCCAATTCATTATTGCTCTTGACCATGGCCATTTCCCCTTCTATCCGTGACATTTAGTTGTGTAAATGTTCTTTCATATACGTGCTCCTCTTTCGGAATTCTCAGTGCATTTCTGGACACTTATTTTCCCACTTTTCAGTTTTTGTTTCGTTAATGACCTTGTTTCTGCACCATATATCATAGCAGCACTTGTAATCTATATCTGCGATAATCTGGGCTCTGGTATATCATTGCGCTCATGCTATCTCGTAATTTGTACGCCATCGGCTTACCGTGTGTGGACAGGGTGAATCTGAACCGTAACCCTCGCAAGCATAAATGGAAATGAGTGTTCATTTAAGTATGTTATTCAATATTAATGTGCATTGCATGCTTGCTACGAAGTCAGCAAATGTTGGACCCGTGCTAGCGAGCGCTATAAATGTCAGGTCACCTGACCTTTAATCGCATGTGTGTATGCTTAATGTGCGCAATATTAATTTATAAGTGAAATATGTATGCATAAAAAATGTCAGTGGGGAAGAAATTCCACTTTTCCATGGCAGGAGCTTGTGTTACCATGGGAAAATCATTGTGGACTTGATGTAAAGTGATCATCATTTGACGGACCTCGGAGAGAAGATGGGCTGAGGTGATACCAGACCAGGATCTGAACTCATAACGTTCCCATTGGAAGAACTATAGCACCACGCGGCTAGACATTGTTTCGTGCATAAAATATAAAAAAAACGTTATATAGCATAGGAATTGTTTGTGAATAAAAAAGCTCGTGGTCATAAATAGTCACTCCAGTCACTCACTGACTGGCAATCGGCATCCTTAACTGAAGAATGTTTTATCCTATATACACAAGCTGTGTATGATGTCGAAAACGTCCTGTATTGTTATTTCTCCATACATTTGTGTTGCAGATTGTGCTGTTTGAAGAATCCAAAGGTGGCGGTGCCATCTCATTTGTGAATGAACCAGAGTTGGGAAAACCAGTAGACACTTAAAGTTTACTTGGCGTTTACCGTACATAAGTCTGAATTCCAAGGCTTGACTGAAGAAAAGTGTAGGAGTTGTTGGCAAGGTTAATTGCCATGGTATATGCTGTTGTGGAAGGTGCAGTTTCAAGTCTATGCACATTCTGGGTAGAACCATCCAGTTGGACGTTTAATCTCATTTGCAAATATGTCCATTCTCTACTGAGGAAGATTTTCTCAAATAAACGCGATTAATGTAAAATTTGGCACGCCTTTGGCAAATAAAGGGCGCATAATTGATTCATGAATCAATTATGATTGACCTCATAATTGATTCATCATATATTTCACGGCACAGAACGTTAACCTGATGATGTTCACCGGTGTTTGCTAATGAGCCTTTTTTTGGAATGTGATGTTTTAACCCGTGGATTTTGTTACAACTCGCTGGGAATGAAAGTTACAGACGAGGCTAACTTCGACTGCCAGTTGAGGACACTTGCACTGGCACAAAACACGAAAACAAAGTTGTACCAAGTGCTCGTTTTCGGCCATACACAGAGCGCCACGGAGTAACACCGCGAACTTTGCAGATTAAGCACTTGTGTTGATGCTTCAAACCAGATTTGGTAGAAGGCTTCATAACGAAATGAACGACAATACTGCGTAATTCATTATGGCCACGTCGGTAAACATTTACAAGATCCATTTATGCTGCAGTTTTACAGCACTGCTTTTGTTACTAAATCGAGACAGTAGATGTCACCACTGTATTGGATACATTCCCGTTATAGACGTTGATGCAGGAGACTAGGATTTATGCTCACGATAACTTCAGTATGAGTTTTGATTTGACCTCTTAAACATGCGTTTATTTTTGGGTTTTTAATTACTTAGAAAGTTTAAATGATTTTTGTTGTGGATTTTTTGTAGTGTTTATCGTGATAATAATATGGAGACAGGCATTATGCACTGTAGCATTTATTCAAATGAGTGGACTTTTAGTGTTTAAATGTCTACAGTTTGTATTTTTCATTTTAAATGGGTGTTGGTTGGATACTTTTTTTTGTTACTGAAACTTAATTCTTATTATTAGTAATTAATATTTTTTTATTGCACATTGCTGTGGCATTAGTAAAATTTACGGGGTTTTTTTTTGCACTTGGTTGTGTAAATACACTCTTAAGACTAAATGCACATATTGTCAAACATGTTTATTATTAAAAATGTAATCACCAAAGCAGTCTGTGTAATTGTTTATCTACACAACAAGTGTTGAGCTGTAATGTAAAGCCAATTCCTTGAACAGTATGGAATGATCACAGGTTGAAATACATACATTTCCTTTCACCTCACACCCCCAGAGCTCTTCTCATTTTTTTGGCACGAAGACTTCAGATAAGATTAACGCTTTTGTCACACCGTAATTGCAAAAATGGCAGCTGTGGTTCGACCTCAGCACTACATATCAAAGGAAGTTGGCTGCTGGTTCATTGTGGTTTTTAGTTACAATGTGAGAGCACCTGAGGTGGATCTGCTGCTTGCGGGACTAATGTAACCATTTGGGTCGCAGGGATGGTGCAGTGGTAACACGTGGCTTCGGGTTCGGCCACCTTTCTGTGGTGAAGATTGATGGCTCTCTCCCCCTGTTTCTTACACGCGTTTTCTCCCATAGCGAAAACAATAAACATGCAATGCCACTGGTGTTGGCCAAATATTCCAATAAAAAAAACATGCGTATTACATAATTGGGATTAGACACAGAGGGCATCGACCCCTACTGCAAAAACTTGGCTGGACCCTCCTGAAAAAGAGACGCGAGTCTCTGGGTAAAACAAGCGTAATAATCAAGTACTCAGCCAGCATCTCTGGCAGCCTGGGTTCATGCCCTGGGGTACCAGCAGAGGCTAAAATGAGTATCATTTGATGTTTGCAAGCTAGAGTCACCAATCGTTGCACCGCACAACATTGTTTTCCCTCATGATTAAGTACACGTGCAGCCTTTTAGCAATCTACTGCTGGATGAGGGCCTCCCCTACCACACCTTTGCGGGACGTTGGGGGTTATTTGACCATACTTCACCCTGCTGGTCAGCGCTAGCTGGAAGTGTGGAGCGTAATCATGGAAGTGTAGAAGCACAGTTCAATAACTGAATTTACTCCACAGCCGTTAGCTGACCACCACATAGCCACATATCCTATAACAACTTGCCTGTGTTTTAATGGTGGGCATCCATTCGGGCACTATTCAGGTTCAAACATGTCTAGCTTCCAAGAGCTGATAAGAGCAAGTGCATTCCGGATAATTTGGCCATAGGCTTATGACTATCTTCACCTATAATGAAATAGTGTACTCCTCGGGAGCAAATGGTGTCAAACATGAAATGAAATGCACGATTAGTTAATCACCGTATACTTTTTACGCAGGAAGTAGTATCTTTCTACGGAGAAAGGAGACGACGTGTTGAATGTGACACTGGGAAAGGTCTTTGGCGTTTCAACCCGAGGGCATTTTATCTACACGTGTTGTTGCTCTGAGAGTGGAGGGCCCCATACATCTCGAGCAGACGTTATCACAATTGACAATCATTTATACGACTGCTTAAAAGATCTCGTCAAGTATGTGGGCCTGGTTTTGACAGACCATTTTGTAAACTTGACTGCAGGTGAATATAAAGTGGAGTAGATACAGTGAATGTAATTATAATCTTTGTGCGAGTGCTTTTGAGATTCATCATTACATTTGAGAGGGCGTAACCATTACAGTGTTTATTACCTAGAGGAAGCCATAGTACAAAGCTATTATACTACGATGTATTTTCAAAGTAAAAATAGTCCAAGTGTTTTCCTGCTGGGCAGAAATGGATTTGATCGTGTTTGTACGTAGTTCTTGGGGCTTCCACATCCACACACAACGGCCATATTACTACTATTGATTTATGTAATGGCACTGAAAACTCAAGAAACAAGATAAGTAACAGGATGAGCGGTACACACTAAAAGCAGCAAAACATTCTCGCTTCCACGGCGCAAGTTTGTTTTTTGAGAGGGCGTAACCTGACGTGGAGGTTAGGCCGAATGGTTTAAGGGTATGACTGGTTGCTTGTGATTGTTCCCCACAGAATCATATTAACAGATGGCCCAGTTACAATATATTTCACACCACGATGCGTTTGTGTGGGTTATCCTACCTGTTCAAAAATGTCTGGCCATCATGAGAGAGTAGGCCAAAATGCCCTCTGGATGAGCTCACTCTGGTGGAGGCCCTTCTGCCAGCAGTGGCGTGAGAAGGAAATTGCAGGGCTGCGCCTTTAACTGTATTTTGCTTTGTCTCCTCCCCTTCCACCGATCCCAGGGAGCACTGAGTTCGGGCTTCGGTCCGCAACATTTCTGTACACCCTGACCCTCCTTTGTTGGGGTTCGTGCCCTTTAACGGGCTCTTGTCAAATCAAATAAAACAATAGAGGCGTTTGGGTTAGATCGCGTATCACCATCACGTTACGCGATCTAACCCAAAATCCTATATGATGGATAATATATTGGTGGCGAAAGCCTACCACGTGTTAAACGCGTTGAAAGATGTTTTCACCATCGTCATTGAACTATCATTGAGATATCGAGATATAATGTTTGTTCATCGATCGAACTCGAAATCCAAAAGTGGCACAAGAATGTGCCCCCTGTGTGCACAGCCACCTGTCCGGATTGGTGAGGGTGGAACAGAATGTGCCGCCCAAAGTTACTTGTGAGAAACAAACTAAAGCTAAAGAAACGGACCACAGCTACAACCACACCTCTGGTTGAATCCGGACTATTGTTTTATTTGAAGAAAGTGAGGCGAGTGCCGGCTTACAGATCTGTAATTTGACTGCTTTATATATATTTTGGACCCCTGAGCACTTTGCAGACCTGTTGACCTTTCACAGATCCCTGTAATGTGCCTGTGGTTCCCTCAGTGTCTGAAGATCCGTGTGGTTGAGAATCCCTGCATTACGCTCGGCAGCCACCTTAATGCAGTCATGGCAGCTTCATCCCTTGGTTATCTCCTTCGGCAAGGCCATGTGAGAATAATACAACACTGTCTTGCTTCTCATACTGGATTTCCGATCTGTTCTTCAGTGGACAGGTGCAGTTTACACAAACAATGTATTTTAGTTGTAAACATGTTATTTGATTGCGATGTTAATGTTAGACATTTATTTAGCATATGAACACTTTGCGGCGGTCAACAGTTGTAAATGGTTTTGAAAATGCGACATGCTGATAACATGTTGCTCGGGTGAAAATGTAACTTTTGCAGGCTTCACGTAACCTGAATGTAAAGATTTGTATATATGAATCCAAGGCCGTAGCCATGGAGTCAGCATTGGTGGGACCAAATCTTCCAGGGGGTCCCCCCCCCCTTAGACAAAAAAAATCTAAATTTGAAGACGAATTTCCTGCCTAAAATATAAAAAAACAAAATCACTAACACATGGGATTGACTTATTATTTATTTTTAACAATAATGTCTAATAGTGAATTGTATTAAATTGCTCTGTTTTTTTCTTTTTTTACATTTTCTTGTTTCATTGTATGTAATGGCAGAGATTTGGGATTTAGAAAGTACAACCATAACCGCAATCATATAAACAGAAAATCTATTGTATAGCAATATATTGGCGGGGGGGGGGGGTGCATTTTGAGCATATTTGAATATATTATAAATACGGCCTTGTATGAATCATGTGTGTGGTATACGTCGTTTGTTGTGGAGAGCAGTCGGCACAGTGGTTAGCGCTGCACAGCCCCGCGATCCGAGCGCGATTCCCACTCACGATCGATCACAGTGGCGAATATCTGAACAGGTCCGGGGCCTCCACTAGATCGACTCGGCCTTGAATGAGTAGCTGGTGTGCTGTGTAAACATCAGCTCCTGGGAGACGAAGTGGTAAAGTTGAAGGCGCTACGAGGAGGGATCCTTGCTTTGTCGTACATTTACATTTTACATTTAGAAATGACTCGCACGACTAAATACGTATTAAAACTTGATTTACAATCGATTTACCTTTGCAATGATTGTTGCATAGTTCATCATTGGCCTCCAAGCAATTAGGCCTGCCTGCGTAGACAATGCAGGAACAAGGACCCATATTGATTAATTAGGGCTATTGTCACATCAATCATCGTTACATCAATCAAGCCTGTTATTCTGGAGTGTTGGCTGTGATGCGACATAATTATACTTCCGTTGGAAAGGGAGTTGTATTCTTATATTGTTTCAGTCACAATTGGTCGTATCCAAGCAGCCAAATTGATAGCTTACTTATGTGGTGACATATTCTCCAGATAATAAGATGCTCCGGAAATAATAACGTACACCAAACTTGCGCCCGGTGTCAATATTTATTACAATCTGGCCACATATCTGCCAGATTATAAGATAGGCACCCAACTTTAGCTTTACATTACATGTACATGTACTGGGGAAAAGTGTCATAATCCCAAGAAGACGGTATCCCCTGCAAAGACGTTATTTAAGCTCATTGAGGTTTGTATTTTGACCTTAGAGAAAAATGACTATCTACACTTTCATTAACAAATACGGCACGCTGCCTAAATTTACAACTACAATAAAAAAAATCTATCTTACGACTAATTTATTCATCTTTTCCCATTATGCTTGGAAGTGGAGATCTAATGCAATATAAAGTGCAAGGATGAGCAACAAAAAATACATTCATTCCCCTTCCATAATGCGCGTCTTTTTTATAGACGTGGCGTTATCACCTTGAAGACCAAGGCAAGAGTTGTGTGTGACGTAGTGATTGGTTGGCGAGGTCATGTAGCCCGCATGCCCAGCCACCGCATGGCTACACAGATTTTGGTGGGGGCTAAACGGGCGCGGCACGGGTTAGAGAAGCAATGGAGTGATGTGGTACAAGACGATGTGGAGCTGTTTGGACTTGCAGATGACCGGTACCAGCGGTGTCAAGATCGGCCTCTGTGGAGGAGGCTCGTGAAGGACGCTGCTACTGGGCAGTTGGAGGCAGTTGCCCTCCAGGAACAACGGAGGGCAGAGGAGAGACACTCACAACAACGAGCGGAGTACCGGGTGGATAAAACACAGCTGTATCTGCAGCAGCAGTTACATTTGGGAAACCGAACGACATGTCTCGGACCGTGTTCGTGAACATAAGGCAGATCTGAAACACGGCAGGACTAATACTTCTGCCGTGGCTGATCATTTCTTTAATGCGGC